CGGGTGTGACTATGGCACAGTACCCTTCAACGTCGGCCGCAGGAGGCCCTGCCCGGAACGCGCTCGGGGCAGAGCTTCACGCTCCCCAGTGAGTCAGGATGCAGAGTATTTCACGGAACACGTCTTTGCAGGAAGACGGTGCCTCTCCCAGCTATGGATGTGCAATTAAAAGAGTAACTAGAACAGTCTCAGGCCGAGCACAGCCTGAGCAAGATTCGTTCCTTCCACGTGTGCAGATAAAAGTGCAAATACGCATTGGATGTTTCTTTTCTAGTGAGGAAGCTCTGGTGCATTTAGCTGCCAACATCTTGAAGACCAGACCAAGGAAAAAAAAAAAAAAAAAGCTTCCAGAGAGTTCAGCTTCACTTTGCTACATGGTACCTTAAAGTCACAGTTCTCTTGCTTACTGCCTGCAGCCGTAGGCGCTGTCCTGCTTACAGCTGCAGCAGGTAGTGGAATGTTTGTGTCGATGAGTTAGATGCTTCAGGGAAGAAGGGAAGAGAAAACCAGGTTACAATCCTATACATGAATGCCACTTCTGGGAAGCAAGGGACCTCGCCGCCTCTTCAGTTCTGCGGTGCAGGGTAGGAGCTAGGGTGGTTATTCACCTCCGAGCCGCCCGCGGCAAAGAGCAAGGGGGCACTGTCTGTTCCGCCGAGCTGCGGCCCCACCGCGTAGCTGTCGTTGCCAGCCAGGGACCCGTAGCAGCCAGAGCACTGAGGGGTGGCCAAGCTGGGAGGAGAGACAGAAAAACCAGACACACGGACTCTTAGGGACAAAGAATTCGGCCGTGACCGGTCTCCCGCGCTAGGACAGAGCCCTGCTGCCGGCACCGAGCAGGGTAGGCGAGTCTGCAGGAGCAGGCTGGGACAGGCAGGCACAGCATCTCCAAGGAACCTGGCTTTGAGGAAACAGGTCCAAGGAGAACAGCACCAGGCCCTACCACGCTGGTCAAGACCACCCTCCAAACCCCTCGCTGAACCCCTGAGCAGCAAGGGAAGGGCAGGGCTGTTGGGTTTCCCCCTGATAGTTTCACTGGGGATACCCGACCATTCTCCCTCACTCCAGGTGTTCCTGCAGAGCTTTGTCCCGGTTGGCTCCCAGGGACAGTGTCCCTCCCAAGACTTCACCACCTCTTCCAGTGGAAAAAACTTCTCTGGAGGTCATTTAAGAGCCCACGGCCCCCAGAACTGAGGGAGGACCCTAGGAAGGTCAGCCCTTCTGGACGAGGCCTCCTGTCTGGAGCCACTGCATATTTCTACCTGTGAGCACCCAGGACAGTGTCTTAGACCAATTTTTTTCCCTTAAGAGCAGAAGCCAAGAGCTCTGTTGCTTCCACACGGGGCAGCAAACCAGCAGCTGTGCCTTCAGGTGCCCAGCACAATGCTTACCCTCCTTCTCTGGCCCCAAGCCGTGACAAGTCATCATCGCTGTCATAGCGCCTCGGATTGTCAAAGAAGTAGGCTCTGGAGCTGTAACTGTGACTGTTGACCATCCCCGCTGGAGTCTGATAAAGAGAAAGGAGTTAGGCCCCAAGGAAGCTGTTCCCTGAAGGCCTGTTCCCACCCTCCAGGCACCCTGGGGCTCCTCCAGCTACAGCAGCTCGCTCAGGCCTACCAAGTTCTGGCTGAGTCTCTGAGCCCGGAAGAACAGCACCACGAAGGTCGTTGGCACCAGCTCCCAGAGGAAGAGGACCACGCCAAACACCACGTACTCTTCACTGTTCACTTCCACGTGCACCTGTGGGCAGAAGTTAGACGTTATCTCGGGATAATCCCAGCCATCAGCAGAGCTACACAGCACCCAAAAGCTGAGCACAGCTGAGAACTGGGAATGCAGGTCCCTAAACCAGAGTAGTGACCCTTCCCTGACTGCTGCTGCTGGTTTTAGTGAGCTAGTTCTGTTCAGAGGGCTACCAGGGTAGTGTCAGCTCCCTCCCCACACCAACAGCTCTCCCTGGCGCACAGCCACGCCTGATTAAGCATTGCTTTTCTGCTCTAGTTGACTTGTTCCTCCTCTCCCCCAAAAGGAGAGTTGGCAGGCTACAACCGAAGAGCACAACGGGGAATCCCTTCCGAAGAAGTAGCCAGAGGAAGATTCAGGTTTGCTCCAGTGGAGAGAGCAAGCAGCGCTCTGGAAGGTAGAAAGCCAGCTCGTCTGGGGATTCAGCTACACAGAAACCCCCACGTGGCCCCCTTTCCACCTACACAGGCCCCCATGGGATGGTGGAGTAACTGCCTCCCACTTGGCTAGCTCTGGATTGGGGGTCACAGGCACTTACCTTGTCTGAAAGGTTGTCCCAGCCATAGTTAAAAGGACCAGGAACGTTGTCTGGAGATATGGCCACAGCTACGAGGTTATAGCAAGCCCTTGAGGAATACAGAAGAGCGACCACAGATCCCACAAGAATAGCCTGGCAGACAGATGTTCCCTAAGAAAAAAAAGAAAAGGAAGAAAAACCAGTTTCAATACAGATTTTCCTACAGATCTGCAATCCCCACCCCCCTCCCCAAACGCATGAGCAGCTGTGCGGGGAAGAATGACCTAGAACATTCCTATGTTGTTGCTAAAATATTCAGAGCTGGTTAAGAGCTTTCCTGGGCGAGGAGTTCGTTGCAGTAGCGGAGCCACACAGCCAGCGTCGCCTGGGAGCAGGGGAGACAGGAGACACAGGAGATTCATTCTCAGGACCTTACCAGTCAGCTTCAAACTGGTGGTCCAGAGAGATGCTAGCCCACCCGCTGCCTTGCTATGGTTAGGCCCACAAGGCCAACCAACAACCATTAAGAAAAATCAACTTGCTGCTTCTACACCCCGATCAGACTCTACAGCGGAGATGTCATTCACTCCGGAGCAGTTTGACACCCCCAACATTGAACACAGCGTTTTTCTTGGAGAGAAGCCCAAATATTTGGGGTGGGCAACTCTGAGAACGGGCAGAAAGCCCCCAGCCCTGCTGTGGGACAAGCCAGGCGTTGCTGTACGCAGGGCAGCATGCTAAAGGGTGGCTAGATGTTGTGGGACCCCTGTCTCCTCCACCTGTCCCGGTGAAGAGCTTTCTCCACAACGTTTCAGAAGCAGAGCTGTCAGAGGGATGGTGACACGAGGAAGGTCACAGTACCTTTCCCAGACAGCTAGCGAGGAGAGGAAGCCGCTTGAAGATCTGCAAGTGTCTCTCTGCTAAATACACCCACGAAGCTTTTGAAGAGCTACTGGTAGCCACCAAGTCAGTCATTGGGCAGACCAACACACCTCAACAGCTGTCTAAGCCCAAAGGCAAGTCAATCTGCTCAGGAAGGTCATCTCATTGACCCGCTCCACATCCAAGCTATGGAGATGCTGGTCCTAGTCTCCTAACTTCAGAGCACTTGCTCAAGGCTGTTTGTCTTGGAAAGAGTCAGCCATGAAAGCGCTGCCAACAGCCAAATCCCTGCGACACCCCCAAAGCACAAGAACACGGCCTGCCCTAGCGCTGTTAGCCCAGCCCTCGGTGTCCAGGCCAGAAGAATGAGAGGCAGAAAGGCTCGTGAAGCAAGTCCCCAACTTCCAGGACCACAGTACAGGATCTGGCTGCAGTCTCCTCCTCCTCTGTCAAACGTTCCCACCTTCGGTGGTGGAGGCCACAGCCTCAGCAGGCCCCTCCAGCCTCCATTGGTTTGAGTCAGCAGGTTCACAGCTAGAGTTCAGGAGGCAGGACGGCCTCTTCGGGCATTGGTGTAACACTTCTGCTCATCCCCACCCTATTTTTGCAGCTCCTCCACCAAACAAAGTCTCAGGGGATGCCTCCAAGGCAGGGAAGGGAGACAGCATTTGAATGCAAGAGGCCTTTACCAGACAGGCTGAGCGTTCAGCCCCAGCACAGGCTTCTCTAGAGCACGTTGTACAGGAGCACAACCCCACAGACACCCTCGGGGACGTCACCAGAGGAAGTTACCGCATTTGTAAACCACTGCTGGGTGAACTTGATAAGTTAATTAGTGTCCAGAGCCAGTCAGAGCTGGATACCTGGCCCAGGCAAGGATGTGAGCAGGTTCTCAGCTGAGTCACAGCTCCTCTGTCTCACTTCAGGTCACCTGGTTGCAACCTGCAGCCTGTGGAGAGCTGTCAGGTAGGCAGCCGCTCCCAGCTGCCTATGGCCCACACGCCCTGGATTCTGGGCAGCCACCGGTGCTCTCTGCTCCTGAAGAGGCCCAAACTTCTGCCCAAAGCCTCAGCTTCAACCTTGACAGCAGAGGGCTGGTCACCCTCTCAGCTTGCGCTCTCTAAGAGAAGGGGCAACAGACCACAGCCACTTTGAGCAGTCATGCAGACGGCTAAAGAGCAAGGAGATGCCTACAGCCAACACAAAGCAGGCGTCTGGATCCAGAAGGTCTTTGTAGCAGTGGCTTGTCACCGTCCTCTCCCTGATGGGGGGGACAGAGCCATCCAGGAGCTCCATACTCCAGGCAGCCTCACCCCCGAGCCAGGCATGGCAGGGCTTTAAGCCCATGTAGATTCACCCAGTTGAGGGCACACTGGAAATAAGGTCTTTGCAGGAGGCCACAACCCCACCTTCTGACACCTGGAAAGGGGCAACGCAGAGCACACGAGGTGAGGAGCTGTACTGCTGGGGAGAGACAGTAGCTCACAAGCTTCCCCAAGCCTGGCTACACTCAGGTGCTCTCTAGTTTTTCTCTAGATGTTTCCAGGCTCATCAAGAGGCCTTCTCACCACCCTGGAATCCCCACCTTTGATAGGGGTGTTACGGCTTCCCAGAGGAAGAGGAGGCAGCTCAAAGTGCACACCTCCTGCTACCCTAAGTCAAGACTGCTGGTGGCTCATCCACTTTCCTACCTGCTTGAGAAGAGTTGTGTGTGTTCAGACCCTCAGGCAGGACCTACAGCAACTTCTGCTCCCCTTCCAAGAGGCTCATCTCACCCAGACAGGTGAGCCCTGCCTCTGGCTCGGGCAAGCCAGCAGCTAAAGCTGGACTACTGGGGGGATCCCCTTCGTTATGCATCTGCCAGAGGTAACAATATGCCGCAGATTTTACTGTCCCTAATGACCATATACTGCAGAAACTGCATCTACTGCTCTTGGAGAACCCCCTCTTCCAGTCAAACCCTAAATTATCCTTCTAAATCTGAAAAGCATCAGCAGCTCCTAAGTCTCCAGCTGGGCCAGCAAAGCTGCAGACAACATATTCCCCTAAAACACGCAGGGCACTTCATTCCTACACCAGAAGCAGGAGGGACGAGCCCAAGAGCTGCCACCTCCACACCAGAAGGAGTATTTGAGCAAGAGTAGCTCAGGTGCCACCAGGCCAGCACGGCTCTGAGTAAGCACACACAGATCCAGCTGAGGATTGTGCAGTTGACAAGGCGTTTACCCACCTTAGACTCGAGGTAGACGTTGGCTGAAGACATCTTTCCCAGTTTGCACATGCAGCAAGCCAGCGAGATGGCACAGAGGATGAAGAGGCTGTCGTTGACTAGGGCACGGGCAAGGACTGTCCACTTCAGCTGGTTCTCCGGGACCTCACCATGGATTAACATTGCACAAGTTAAGTTCACAACTAAGAAGAGGAGGCTGGTAAATATGGAGCCCAGATACAACAGGACCCTGGAGAGATGGCGGGGGGGAAATCAAAAAAAAAGGAGTTTGTCAGACAATTTTGGGCTCATACTGCACCACCTTCCTGTCTCATCAGGCAAGGGAACCTCCCAGCATGCCCAGGGCTCTGCTTGCTGTGAAGATTCCAGCAAGTTTCAGGGGTTGTATTGACAGCCCAAGCCTGCAGAGTATTTGTTTGAGCTGCTCTCCTAACGCATGAGCCGTGTAAGCAGTCATGAGTTTCAAGACTCATCTTCTGACAGTCAGCTTCTTATCTTGCAGATTTTAAGTGTTGCTCTAGCTCTGCATTAACTTCAGTCAATAAACTATGAGTCATCACAACCACCGCAGCTCCTTTCTTGGAAGCCACTGGAGCTCGTGTTTTCCATCGTGGGCTTCCCTGGAAATGGCTACGAAACACCTGGGCCGCACAAACACAGGTCCCACCTATTGCTCAAGCCTTATCCTGCTGATCTTTTCTGGGGTGGGACAGCTCAGAACGATCTCGAGAGCTTGCCCAGTTTGCTAGCAGCACCGGTACTGGGATGCCGATGGGCGTATGGAGGCATGCAGCGTGCGCTTTAGCATGGGATCAGCTCTGTTCAGTCTTTGGGCTCTGAAGCTCCCGTGCCGAGCGCTGCAGCTCGAGTTCCCCTCAAGCCAGCTTTGAAGGTAACGTTAGAAAAGTATCACTTACTTGTATTTGTTGAATTCAGCTGCACATTTCACTTTGAATATGACCTAGGGGAAAGATTTGCACAGCATTACTGCACATGACCTACAGTTCTCCTCAGTAAAGATGCGCACAATGGGGAGCCAGCATCCAGCTGGACACCTTGGAGGACTCCAGGTTATCCATTAGCACCAAGTCTGGCTGGACTCACTTGAAAAAAAGACTGGTAGTCTTTTTCTTGCAAGAGCCAAGCCCAAATGTAGGTGTCCAACAGGCATAAATATATTTAATAGCCCCTACATGACAAGGACTTTAACACCACACTTCAGGACTTCAAGAACAGCAGGGAGTTTAGCACTCTGTAGTCACAAAGATCATTCAAAAATACATCTACTTTGCCCAGTGTTCTGTGCTGCATCTTTTAGGACCTCAATCATACCTGATTTCCCTGTTGGAGAAGGCTGCTTCAGCTGCTGTGCTTTAGCAAGACAAATAGCTGATCTAAACCAGCCCTCTGGTATTGGATTATGGACCTGCAGGCTGCAACAAGCATCGGGAGCTCACAGCTCCTCCACCCTGAAGATGTTTGCAGGCCAAATACACCTGAAAAGTAACTCTGAGGTGGCAGGAAGTCCTCCAGAGGTGGAAGGCCCAGCCTGCCAAGTCGCATGGCACCTGTATTAGAAGACAATCAGTTATTTGCAGATGATTTCATCCTTCAAAGCAACACATGCTCCGTCCTAGAGCAGATCTGAGTTCTGTGAATCTCCTCACCACACAAGGGACACACAGACATTAGGAGACTCCAGTTGAAAGTTGCACAAGAAGGACCGGTGCATCAAAGCAAAGGCTCACAGGCCTCTCCTCAGAGCGCAGGGGACTGACCCATGCCCACACCCCCAGCCATTGGGGTTCGGAAGGCTGGAGGAGAACCATCAGCTCATACCCAGGCAGCCCTACAGCACTCCTTCCAACACAGCAGATAAGCTTCCGTGTCCCTTTGGGCTGGGAAGTGGCTCCTGCCAAACCCTGCAGTGGCAGGACTTCCAACCTACGGAAGTTTGGACAATTTAGGAAGGTGCAGACACGCTCCCAAGTCACAGCTCCGATGGGAGCGCAGCAGTCCTGCTGCAAGGGGATGGGTGCTCACACAGGGTCAGGACAAGCAGCAGGGAAGCAGCACGCTGGCAGAGCCACACGGACCTCGCTTGTCACCGGTGGAGCACAGCCACGGCAGGAACTGGGGTTTTGTCCTGTGAAAAACGCAGATCCTGGTGCAAGACTCCACCAGGAAGGATCCCAGAGCTGAGGTCACATTCAACTTCAAACAAAGCTCATGTCCTGACTTTGAAGGAACTGGGGAAGGAGGAGAAAGCCATCCAGGCAGACCCAGCAGGCAAGTACTTGTGGGGTCATCTGCACAAGCCCACTGGGGGATCACCACGCAGGCGGGGAGGTCTAGTTTCACCACTGCCACAAGCAGTCCTCCCTGTCAGCTTCCAGACTGTGGCTGCAGCAAAGGATCACTCATCTCTCACGAGGCACCTTTAGTCAGCTTTTTTTTTCTTCTCTGATGGGATTTCTTGGCTCCTGCCTTCCAGTCAGCACCGAGGTAGCAGTGGCATTCTGAAGCTTCTGAAATCAGGCTCTTGCCAACAGGATTTCCCGAGACATTTCAGGATCTGAGGGTTGTCTGATCCATTATAGGATTTTTAAGCATTTGAAAGCTCTCCTACAGGGCATCGGACAGGTTCAGCAACCCTGTTCTGAGGGACAGTTCCACTGTCTGGCTCCACTCCCCCAGTCTGAAGGAGGATGAACTCAAGCACTTAGTGGGGGACACGACACAGCACTTCAGCAGAGGGAGGTATCCAGCCCCCATGGCTGAGGAGCCCAGTACTACAAGCAGACTCTGAAGCCCTCTACCCTGTTGTCCCAGCCTCTATCAGCCCAGAGAAGTACAGAAGTGTGGCAAAATCCGCTCTGAGCCCCAAAGCTCACTCGAGTTACAGGAAACCTGGGCTTTGAAAGGAACACGTGTGACTTTAAAACAGAAAAATCCCTGAATCCTCCTCTGTCCTTGGTTTGCCACATTTAAGCACTTTGGGAGTGTCAAAACAGACACCAAGGACATCCAGCTGGGAAGCCCGTGGGCTCAGCACCTGTGTTCACACGACATTGAAATCCATTTGAGGTATTTGTACTTCTGCTCCGACTCCCAGAAGAGCAGTCTGTAACTGCAGCCCCCAAACAGCAGCACAAACAGACTCCCCGGCTTCTATTCCAGCTGATCACCCCAGGTGAGAGCAGCCCCTCAGCCAAGCAGGGAAATAAATGCCCCTGGCTAACAGAAAGAAGATGCTGGCTTCTGCAGCAGCCCTGTGCGAGGCAGTCTCCCAAGACCCTCCCCTACAGCCCTGAGGCCGAAGGCACCCAAAGCTGGCTCAGGGTTAAGAGTGCAATGGCAACCTGAGACTCATGCTTGGACTGCTGCCACGAAAAGCAGAGGGACACCAAGGCACCAGCCTTACACTTTTGCTAGCCCCCAGCTATTTAGTCCTCTGACTTCACGAAGAGAACAGGCATCCCTCAGTTCACAGTGTTTTTAGTTATTAAGATATGATCACTCATCTGAAGGTTGTTTTTTCTTCACAGGGCCGGGTCAGTAGGTGACACCAGTACTGTTCACAATGCATCTTTGGGTTCTTATCCTTGAGACAATCTCACAAGGCTTTCAGTGCTGGACAAGCTCTGGTGCTTTCAAAGCCCAAGGACAGCTGACATAAGAGGGTTCTGCTGTGAAGAAGCCCGTGCAGATTGCTCAGGAGTAATCCTATTCTTCATAAAAATAGGAAATACAGTCCCCTGCCCTCAAACAGGAGCATGATGCCAAGTTGCTACCGGCAGCCCTTGCAAACTGAACAGTTCCTGCAGTTCCCGGTGACACCAGCCCCAGGAGGCACGCAGTTGCCTGCTGAAAACAAGGAACAGAGGTCTCTGCTAGCTAGGTCTCTCCGCTCCACAGCAGCAGGAGTGAACATTTACTCCTGAGCAAGCCTTTTTCTAACAGGCAATGCTCAGTTGTCTTTCTGGAGCCACAAGTCCTTTGAGCACATCAGCCACAGGCTTGGGAAGAAGGTGAGACCAAGAAAAGCAACAGCCCTCAAAGTCCCCCAAGATGCTGGAGGCTTTTGTTTTTGTGATGACCGGACATACTTCACAGAAGTGAAGACCTTGCTCACACCACCGAGCCCAGAAAGCGAACTTGCTCAGGGTGTGTTCTCAGAGTATCGTTCAAGAGCCACACTCATCCTCAGAAGGTGTACTGAAGGTGTCACAGCTGCTAAGAGACAACAGATGACAGACACCAGATCCCACAGATGGCTCCAAGGACCACTTTCAGTACTTGTACAAGTACTTGACCTTGGCCCCAACACTGAGCCTCAGACAGCACTTCAGCTTGGTTTTGGTACAGCCATTCACAACAGATCTGAAAGATCCAGAAACTTGTCCATTCACAACAGATCTGAAAGATCCAGAAACTTGTCCATTCACAACAGATCTGAAAGATCCAGGAGAGCCAGAAACTTGTCCTTGTCTGTTTGATGGAACCAAAGTCCCTTTTGCTCCATAAAGCGGGGTCTTAAGATACAAGACATAACCACGTCCTGCCTCGACACGAACACAGCCCTCTCAGTCGCAAGTGCATCCACACACAGATTCCTTTTCTCACCACAGTCATTCAGCAGCGAGTATCAGAGCAGAGCACTGACTATTTTGGGACTACACCCCATAACAAGTGTTCAAGCCCACCCCCACCCCTCAGGAAAAGTTGGAACTATCTGCGAGGAGGATCTCTCACCATCCCCACTAATACTGAGGTCATCCTATGCCATCATGAACACAGGGCACAGCTTGCATGTACCTTGATTTCCTAGAATAGCTGGTGGCTGGCATTGCCACCTGCTCATTTGGGAACTATGGGAATCATCAGCGATGGGATGGAGCAGTTTTGAGTTTAAGTGACCCCTTACCAGCTGTCCCTCTGAGGCAGAGGGCACATGCTAGGTGTCTGCTAGACAAGGAAGCTGGAAGAGCGCAAGAATGGACGGAGGCTTTTCCAGTTTTCCTTCTGAGAGAGCAGGAAGAGACAGGACAGCAAGGACAAACAGCTCCCAGGCTGGATGCTCTTTCCATGCACGCCTGCTCCAGTGCAATTAGAGCAGCAAGGGCTGAAAGAGGCTGATGTCATCTTGTCAGATGGAGCACTTAAAGAAACCCAGACAGGTTAAGGGTTACGGCCGGGGAAATCTGGCAGAGCAGCCTGGCAGAGCAGCCTGGCAGAGCCTCCCCGCTCCAGCAGAAGGCCTTACTCATGGTTGCACGTGGTTGCCGACTCCCAAGTGAGACAAGGATGCCAAGTGCTCAAGAAGGTCTTTGAAAGGGTCAAGATGGAAGGGGTTGTGGCTACATTTTCATGTACTGTGCTCCTGACCATGACCTGGGGGGAAAAAAAAGCAGGAGCTGGCAGACTCTTGGGAAAGGTAGCATTACTCAAGCAGATGCCTAGCTGGCAGCAGAGGAGCTCTTCCAAAAGCAAGGCAGAGAAGCAGCCCCGGGTGGATATCTGAGCCATGGTTCTGCCAGATTGGGAGTGGATCTGAGGAATTTTGACCTGATGTACTGTGAACTCCAGCTTTCCCAAAAAGGAACTCATTCTGTTACAAGCTGAACAGAGGGGAAGAGATGCTCCCAAGCAAGAGGCTTTACAGCTTTTGATGTTCCAGGTGGAAATAAGGCAGTGATAAAGAAACTGTCACCACTAAATAAGCATTTTGTCAGGCCTCCACAATCTCTCAGGAATCTCAGGGGCCAGGAGGGGCTGGGAAGAGGACAGCCTCTCCCCACAGAAAGGGGGAACACACCAGGCAGTTTCACAAGTTTGAATTTCAGCCCCAGAACAGCCTGGAGTACAAACTAACACTAGCTCTCCATGGGTATTTGTTGTTCCCTGCAGCTTTTCCCCCCCACCCAGCACCATTTCATCCTCAGCTTGTACATAGCCTGA